ATGCCGGACTTCTGCCATCCACATAAAGCTACTGAGAGATTAGACAAGGGACTAACCTTGTCTAATCTGCATTTTATGAAGAGCATCTGTGTTGTACATGGACCTGGGATGGAGGCAGGAAAGGCTGGAGGTACAGGAGTTGGCGAGATGATGATGTATGCAGTCTCCGTGAAAGCCTGGATTAAGGCTATGACAAGAAAAACAGGAGAGAGCTAAGTTAGAGAACATACTTCAAAAGCAAAATTGATAGGTGTGTGACTAATTGCATCTCAGAGTGACAGAGGGCGAGGAGCCCTTGAAGTCTTTCCAGTTTCTTACTTAGCAAATTGGCAGATGAAGTTGGCATTCACTTTGGTAGGGAGAAGAGAGACAGAATGAGGGTAGAGAGCAGTTGCGGGGCAAGGCTGAAGTTCAGATACCCAGAAGAGTTCACTGCAAATTGACATAAGTGGGACTCAGGAAGAGCTCTTGGCTAGATGTAAAATGTTGAGTCACTGGAATGCTGGCTTGGTCAAGTCTTAGGTTTGAATGAGGCGTCCCGGTGTGCGCAGGGTGAGATAGGCTGGGTGCTGTATGAGACCAAGAGTAGACAAGAATGATGCAAAGAGTCAAGAAGACACAAGGGAAACCACAAAGGATGCACTCAGTAAGTCAAAGGGTAAGGAGAGAACTCAATACCCAATGCCAGAGCAAAACACAACTACGATGGGGGAGGATAAGGAGTGTAGCCTTTGCATTTGAGAATTTGAATACAATTGCTAAACTTAGGAGTGCACTTTCAGTGGAGTGGTGGGCTGGGCTGGGGCTGTTTGAAGCTTAAAGTGAGTCAGATTGTTGTGGGTTGGACCAGACAGCCCCCATCAGGAAGTGTGCATAGGGAGTGCCCAGAACTCCTTCAAGGAGCTTAGCTCTGAAGGGAGGCTGTGAGCCACAGGGAGGAAATTAAAGGGGTGGAGGTCCACAGAGGAGAAGCCATTTCCCCAAAGTGGATATAAGCCAGAAAGGGGTGGGGGGGGCAGGGAGTGAGGGAGGAAGAGAGAGGAAGGAGAAAGGGCGAGAGAGAGAGAGAGAGAGAGAGGGGGGGAGGAGCGGGAGGGAGGGAGAGGGAAGGAAGGAGGGGAGGACAGAGGAAGAGAAGGAAAGAGAGAAAGAGGAGGGAGGAGAGAGGGAAGGGGAGGGAGGGAGCACTCAGAGCTCACCGGGCAGAACAGGTGACTTAGAGGGGCCCCTGAAATAGGGTCCCCAGGAGCTCATTTTGGCTCCTTCACCATCCATTGGTGGGAATCCCCAAGATACAAATCTCGGGAATGAATCAGTTCACCGGGCAAAGAAAACTCTCTGCATGTTTCTGCAGTATGCAAGTGTGGCAGGTAGTCCTGATTTTGTTTTGTTTTGCATTTATTTATTTAGGAGGAGGTGGGGCATGCCTTCCTGAGTCAAAGGTCCTGGCAAGCACCCTTACCTGCTAAGGTCTCATGGGCTGGTATTTTAATGTGTTAAATCATCCCCTGAATCAAAAGCCACACGGTTCCATTGTTTACAGGGAGCAAACTTGAAGTTTATTCAAGCTTTCAGAATCTGGCTCAACTCTTGGTCTCCCTGCAGTCTCTGGTCAGCCAGGTTGTGGGGACAATTATGCTGGAACCCGAGCTGCTGTGCAGGGCCTACCAGCTGGTTTGGACCTGCCTTCTACCTACCTCCTGTGGAGCAGAGCCCCACTCAATCCTGTTCCGAGACCAAGAAAGCCCTTTGCAGCCCTACCCCCCAGGCATCCACACTTGTCCTGACTACTGCCCAGAATGCTCTTTTCTTAGTGCTTGGTGTCACTGACTCCTCATCCAGTGGGACCTCAGTCATCCCATCTGATGAAAATAGATTGTATATCCGAGACACAAACACAACCGTTCTTACGTCCTCCTAAAAGCCGTGACAATTGTACTTATTTCATTCATTTCCCTTTGTCCATTGTCCTTTCTCTGTCCTCTCAACAAAGCAGAGGCGCCATGGGGGGCTCGTCTTATCCCCCACCCCCACATCTTTTCTCCTTCTTTCCCTGTGTCTAGTACAGCATTTGACAGAAGCTTTAGAAATATGCTTCATAAATAAAGGAATGAACAGCTCCTTCATTTTTTTAAAAAAACCTAGTTTGAATGCTGCTGCCACAGGGAATACAAATAATGGTTTGTGTGTATTGTGCTTCCTTTCTTCTAGCTGTTACTATACTGTATTATCTCATCTAATGAGCCCCCTCCTCCCATGACTCATAGAATAGTCATAACCCAGACCACACACTCCAAAGCCACAAGTCAGCTTCTTGCTTGCTTTTGTTGTTTGGGTTTTTTGTTTTTGTTCTTTTCCAAGGCTGTGGATTGAACCCAGGGCCTTGCACACGCCATTCTCTAGCAGCTAGAGAAAGAAACACGCCACCCCTGAGCTACACCCCAGCCCTCGCTTTGTTATTTATCACAGGCATCGCTCTTTTTGCTGCAGCAGCGACATGCTTAGTATTCCTCACAGCTGACGCCAAAGCACACAGAGAGCACTCAAAGGATGCTGAGAAAGTGAGGGTACCCTGGGGTAAGTCATCTTTATTGGAGCAAAGATAAACAGTGTGACCGGAGTGAAACAGAGTGTACTCAGTGACCACCGACGAGAAGAAGAGGCAGGGTTCCTTCAGACTGGGTTCTGTTTTGTTTTGTTTAGAGAAAAGGAGGGAGTAGGGCCTGAGGAATAGAACCTAGGCTTCAGCAGTCAGAGAAGTGAAATTTTAACGAAGTGTGAAGGGAGGATAGCCCATGTGAAACTAATCTAACTTTGTGAACTGTCACCTGTGGTATTCAGGCTCCTGTCCTCCCACAGAGGTTGGGAGATGGCTCCCTGTGGCTAAGTGTCAGCTAGGACAAACAATTCTTCTGTAGTCAGAATTCGCTCAGGAATTTGGGGGGAAGCTGGGTGCTAGAATGTGGCCTTGAGCTGTTGGGAGCCATGGTAGTGTTTGTTCAGATCTTTACAGGCCAAGGTTGAGGCCTAGCTGAGACCCGAGCTCAGAGGAGCCTGATTAGGGTTTGATCAAGATGAAGATCTCCAAATTATAAACTTCAAAGAGAAAATCTACTTGTTCTACTTGTAAACATGGGAATCACGATTAAAGCAGGCTAATTTGAGCTTTGAGCTTTTTGAGACAGACAGTTCAAGCTCACTATTTTCCAGAACTTGCTAGAATCTTAACTTTCAGGAGAGAATGATAATGATCTTTCAAAAAAAAAAATGCCTATAAAACTCAAGTTATTTCACACCAAGAAGCCAAAAGAAAGGGCTCCTAGCACTGACTTTTAAAATGTCAGCTTTGGGTGTTGTGGGATGCTGCGTTGGGTGGGGTCCTGTGAGCTTGATGATTTCAGGAGCACCTAGGCAGGCTTGGGGAGCCTGGAATCCCCATGGTGAGAGGACCAGACCTGTACAAAGCTTCCCTAAAACCTCTCAACGTGGTTCTACAATCTGGAAACCCTACTGGACATCTCACCTGCTTCATGACCACCTACTCCTGAGGTCCCGGACTCAGATCAACAGGCACACTCCCCCATGGCTGTAAAAGGTGACATCAGGGGAGCCCTGCTTCTATTTATAGCCCTGGGTGTGGCCCTCCCAAGGTTGGCAGTCAACCCAGAGAGACCAACAGCTCTTACCAGGCACTCAAGAATGAGTGCTGGGAGAGTCATTCCTGAAAACACCCCAGGTTCTGAGTATCTAAGAGTCCTTTTCTTCTTGGGTTCTACCCTAGAGGAGAGGTGTGCCCTCTGGAGAATGTCACCTAACCTGTCTGTCTCTACCTGACAGGTAAACTGGAAGCATCAGTCCTACCCGCTGGGTTTTCTTGGGGAGAGACTCTTCTATTAGAGAGGGTTTTGACTTAAATGTATCTGAAACTCCACAGACGCAGCTGTCTAGTGCCATAGGCTCTGGGAGATACTGTGTTTTTCACCCCCTTCTGTGGCCAGGGAGGTAACTGGATGCCATGGTTCTAAAGTCACACAGTTTCCATTCAAGCCCTTGAAAGTTCCTTCTCCGATAGTTTAGAAAAGATCTCTTTGGCCACCTGCCTCTTTCGCCGCTGGAGTGAGTGACTTGTCTTTCCCCTGTCGTGTCAGAGTCCCTATGATTTAGGAAGAACGCTAACCATTTCCTGCGTTGTGGTGATGCAGCTTCTTTATTTATAGGAGCAGAACTGCTGTGGACAGGGATCCATCAAGGTGCTGCGGTCACGGTTTGCAAAAACGCCAGGCTCGAGAGAGTTCTTAAGTGTACAGCATCCGGGACTGTACCTTAAGGAAACGAAAGGAAGACAAACCCTATTCTGGTCTGGTAGGAATTGTTTCTGTTAGAGACAAGACCTCACATTCACTCTGGTCTCAAGTTTAAACCTAAACATCTGCAAGCGAGACCACAGCATCCTTACGGAGTGTCAGTGGATCATTTACCAGCTGTGAAGAAACATGTAAATACTCCACTGCTTAATTTTGTTGTTTGTTGGTTTAATAAGTCAGGACAACCCCCTGCTCTAATAAAAAAAAATAAAGTTTGATTCCGTCCCAATTTCTTGGAACTGTCTGAGGGAATCGGAGACAAATGTGACATGGAAGGCAGGATTTGAGCTGCAGGAATTCCGGGGCTGGCTCCGGAATCTCCGGGAATAGCCCTGCAGCGAGTGCCGACGCCCGGGGAGGGTCTAAACTGGGCTCCGACCGAATAGACTGCGTGGGCGGAGCCTGTGAGCAGAGGTGGGCGTGGTCGTGCGGCGGGCGTAAGGGCGTGGCCTCGGAAGGAGGGGCTAGAGGGAGCCTGGCGCCGGTGGCGGGAAGGAAGTGCGCGGGCTGGAGTGTGCTACGTTTGCCCCTCCTTCCTTCCCGCCACCGGAACTCAACTGTGGCGGCAGTCTTGGCTAACTGCTCCTGCTCGGGAAGGGCTGTAAACTGCACGGATTGTGTTTCTTTTTCCTTCCCTCCGCTCTTTCCGGAAGGTGAAATGTCGAAGCGTGCATAGACCCACCTCCAGGGTCCAAAATTCCACGGCCACAGGGGCGCATTACTCTCCGGACTCATTCGTTAAAGCTCTTTCTTGGGGTACGCCTGTGTGGATGGTTATCCCCAAAGGGAAGAGTGAGTGCTCTGGGGTTGTAACTCAGTTGGCAGAGGGCACTTTCCCAGCGTGCAGAAAGCCTTGCGTTCAATCCTCAGCCTTGCATAAACCAAGCGTGTCCGTCTGTACATGCCTGTACATGTAATTCAAGTATTGGAGGAGGAAGCTGGAGGTTCAAGGCCATTCTAGCTACATAGCTAGATTAAGACCAGCCTGGGCTACCCTAGACCCTGTCTGTTAAAAATCTTTGGTGTTTAACTGGTTCTAAATTGGTATTTCGTGGGAAGGAGACCTTTTTTTTCCACCCTCAAGGCACAGAGCTTAACGGGGTCCTGAAGCCCTGTTTTACCCTCCTAAGACTTCTGGATAACACTCACCCACATTAAACACCCTGAAAACTTATTTTTATGTCTCTTATAGAGCCTTGGCTCTGAATCGACCTTCTCGGTGTTGGATGCTGCAACCCAGCCCCTTGATGCAGTGCGAATCCAGTCCAAGGGAAGAGGAGATCCCGTCCCTCTTTTGGGGTTTGGATCCTGTGTTTCTAGCCTTTGCAAAACTCTACATCAGGGATATCCTGGAGATGAAGGAGTCCCACCAAGTACCAGGTATGTGGCCAGTCAGCCTAATGGATGCTCTGTGCTGTCCAATGATACAGAAAGCCGAGGCCTCGGGGCATCTGGAAGAGCCTTGCTGAAGTCTGAAAGTTATCAAGCCTCAACCCTGGAAGGAGTTCGTTTCTGGGCTTTTTGTGCAAATTAAACAACAATCTAAAGTTTTTAAGTTTAAGTTTGAGGGTGAGACCTTTGCACTGTGCCTCCTCCCCTTCAAACCAGATGTAATCCCAACACTTGATAGGTGGAAGTAAGGACGATCAGGGGTTAAACTCCAACCTGGGATACATAAGACCTTTTCTCAATTTAAAAAAAAAAATGCTAGCGGGCATTGGTGGTCCACATTTTTAATGCCTGGAACTAAAGTTACAGACAGTTCTGAGCCACCATATGGGTTCTGGGAATTGAATCCGTGTCCTCTGGAAGAGCAGTCAGTAATTGAGCCAACTCTTCAACCCCTGCCTTTTTGGGTGTGTGTTTGAGATAGGATCTCTTCTGTGTAGCCCTGGCTGTCCTAGAACTTGCTCTGTAAGCCAGGCTGGCCTTGAACTCAGAGATCTGCCTCTGCCTCCTGAAGTGCTGGGATTAAAGGGGTGCACCACCACTGCCCAGCCACACACACACACACACACACACATTTACTTTTTATATTCCAATCCCAGTTCCCCCTCTCTCCTCTCCTCCTGATCCTCCCTCTCCACCTCATCTCCTCCTCAGAGAAGGTAAGGCTTCCCCTAGGAAGTCTACTGAGTCTGTCCCATCATTTCATTGAGGCAGGACCAAGGCAGCCACCTGTATTTTTAAAAGCAAGGACTTTTGCTGAAATTGGAATGTATCAATTCAGGTAGGCTGGCAGGCCAATAAACTTGAAGGATCTTTTTTCAAAATCTCTGCTTGGTCCACACAGTGTTACAGGTACGTGCAGATAAGCTGGGCTTTTATGTAGATGACTGTGATCAGAATTCAGACCATCATGCTTGTGCCGCAGGCATTTTACTAGCCGAGCCATGGCCCAGCTACAGTTTTAAAATTAGAGTACTGGTTACTAGAGATACAATCATCATATCTAAAAGTCTAACAAACATATAGGTTACAATAATTTAAGTGGTTGTGGTTATTCCTTCAGGAGTTAATACTGTGCTGGGTGAGAAGTTTGCTTAAAGTTATATGAGGAACATTTTGTGAAGCTTTCAAATCAAGGACCTTCCGAATGACAAGGTTTGAGTCAGAAAAAAAAAAAAAAAAAAAAAAAAAAAAAAGGCCAGGATCTCAAATATCCACAGTTTGAATGAGATGAGGCTTTATGAAGTTTGTTTTACGTAAGGATGGGTATATTTGGATGACCTTCTTCTAAAGCCTTTTGTACAGACAGAATTCTTTCCACCACATCTTTTATCTTTACTTCCTACTTATTGTTGAACTTGGTCTGTGGATTTGTCCCCTAACTGGATGGCAGCCAGCCTCCTCTGGAGTTTTCTAGAATTATCTGGTGTTCTTTATAGCTCATCTCTTTGGGAAGAAATTAATTCACACCAAATGCCAGCCTTGCTTAAAAGGTCTGTGAGTGAGCAAGCAGGTACCACAGGCATCCCTGGAGTTTAACGCTCGCTGTGGGCAAAGGATATGCTGGTGTGTTAAAAGAAATTCAGTGAAAGCCAGCCTGCTGACCTTTACCCTCTCTGGTGAAACTGTTTCAGAATGTTCATTTGTAAGAGGAATTCTCATGGATGAAACAGGCATGGCGATTTTAGAATGGTTTTCTTTAGACTATGCTGTTGGTTTCCAAGCTAGCCGGTTTTATCTTGGCTTGGTTTACCATAAAGAGAATACTTGTGATCCAGCTGTGGCACACAGCTGTAGTTCCAGCACTTAGGAAGTGGAGGCATGAAGCTCAAGAGTTCAGTTCAACGACATTAAAGGCTAGCCTGGTTTACATGAGACACTGGCTCTAAAAAGAGGGCTGTGGTGATGTACACCTCTAATCCCAGCATTTGAAGGGTTGCAGAAGCAGGCAAATCAATGTGGGTTCAAGGCCAAAAAAATAAAGACAAATAAATAAACCAAATCCAAAACAAAAAAGGTGCCTGTGGTTCTATAAAATTTAGAAATATTTAAATGGCAAAGAACATCTGAAACAAAATAACAAAGGTTAGCAACAACAGAAACAAAAGTGTTCTTAGTAATGAATTTGCTTGCCCTTTGTCCTTGGTTCTGGCCAATAACCTTAGTCTTTGGAATTTCCTGAGAATAGGAGTGTCTTTTTAGTGGAGATGGGGGCCATGCCTTAGTTTATGCCTATGGAACTTGTTATCCTGGGCTGCAAGTCCAACCTTATTAATAGACAGTTGGAAATCAAAGAGAGACCCCATCAGCCTGACTCCTGGAGGTTGAGGTCATTCACTCATATGACCAGTGAATCAATCATGCCTACACTATGAAAACCCATTCAGGCCCTGAGGTTTAGACTTGAATGGGCTAGTTAAGTATATTGTGTCAGAGGGTGATGTGTCCTGGAGACTTTAAATTTTCCACACCTACCTCTGTGCCTTCTTTATTTGGCTGACTCTGATGTATGCCCTTTGCTATAAAATTGTAATCATTAAGTATGACACCTTCCTGAGTTTTAGCTAATTATCAAAGGTAAAGGAGTCACAGAGACAGCTTTATAACAGGCGGGACAGAGGATCCCAGCAAAGCTTGAAGCTAGGAGACTGCCCTAGACTGGTGAAACCTTACTGGGTACCATTTGGTTTGCCTTGTGAAATACCATTGCCATAAATCTGAACTTTGGGTTTGGCTGGTAGAAATGTGAAAGTTGTGTGGTATTAAGGTGGGTTCTTTGTTTGCTCATTTGTTTTATGCATTAAAAATGTTGCTTATGTGTGGAAGATGCCCTTCCTGTAAGATAGGATTTTACTGTATAGCCTGCCTGACCTGATACTTACCATGTACACCAGCCTGGCTTTGAACATTTTTTTGGTTTTGTTTCTTGAAACAGTGTCTCTTATAAAAGTACTTTTGGGTGGGTGGGGGGGATGAGACAGGGTTTGTAGCCTTAGCTGTCCTAGACTCTCTGCAGACCAGGTTGGCCTTGAACTCAGAGATCCTCCTGCCTCTGCACCCACTTCCCCCAGTGCTGGGATTAAAGGCGTGTGCCACTGACACCCACCTAATGAAAGTACTTTTTAAAGAGAGAAAACATAATATCTTCCTTCGATCGTGGATGTTTGTGGACGGTGGCTTAAAATCTGAGTCAAGTTTGCCATTGACCTTGGCACTCCAAGCCCCCATGGCTTAGCTTCTTCTTGGGGCTCTGAGCATACAGGAGCTCTTGGATGTAACACAAATACTCTGGGTCACCTGAGCATCTGTGGGCAGCTACATGGAAAAGGCTGGAACACGAGCTTGAGTAAGCTAGTGCATCTGTTGGATCGTTTTCTTAGTGTGTGGAATCGGTTGTCATTTTTTCCCTCTGTGGACTGAGCAGCCAGCCAGCACCCTGGAGCTGCGGAAGAGAGCTAGCTCACTGTGGTGAGGGAAGTGGTTCTCTCTGCCTCTCTCATGTCGAAAGCCTGCCTTCATACTCTGTGGTTCGTGTCTTAATATGCTTTGAGAAGTTTCTTCTGTGTTTTTAAGCAGTGTATTTCTTCCTCAGCCAGTTTCCTCTGAGTTCCTCTACCACCCCCCCCCCCCCCCCAATTCAAACCATCTGTTGTTTGTTTGTTTCTGTAGTCCTCTATTGTTCTGTAATGCTTTCAAGCGTTTCTTCTGCTGAGTCCTTTGGGACTAGAAAGATTTTTTTTTTCAGCTCAATGACTACTCTTGAAAGTGAGCCATTGTTACTCCCCAAGGTAGACACTTCTGAAGTCCATATTTATCCTTCTTCAAGGAGGTATAGTATGTTCTCAAGTGAAAACCTGTTCATATTTTTATTGTTGCCAGATGCAGTTTATTACAAGAGGATTGGTGACCTGGGGACACTGGCTTGTGCATTAGTCTGGTCTTCTTACTGCCTTTGGAAACATAGACGTCTGTCCAGCCCCTCTCCCTGTCTTAAAGATCATAAGATTTCAACTGTTGATTGCAGATCTTGTCATGCCCAGTCAGCCCGTGTTTGTGAATGGAAGCAGCTCTCTCCCAGGGGTGACTGTAACCTGGGCTCTTTCTTCATGGGGCCTTGCCATCATCAGCCTCTGACCTGGATTGCCCTAAGGCTAGTCCTCTTTAGAAGCACCCACCCACCCACACACACACAGAGGGGCCAGGTCCAGGCTGAGTTTTCTTTCTCCAAGCCACACTCACTTTCCTAAATGTCCCTCTGGAAGACAGCTTCAGTCAGTCCATCCCATCATCCTCCCTTCGTGTAGATCCGGAGAACCAACCATTCCTCAGCAGTGGGCAGAGTTGAAAGGTCAAGCTATAGTCTCCCATTGGCTTGAAATCCAAAGGTTGTTACCAGCTGTGATGGGAGGGAAGAGTGGCCAAATTGTGAACCCCCTCATAGTGCTGAGGTTAGGCCCCATCCCTCAAAGGTGACCAGGCCCTGCACTACTGGGAAGAAAAAAAAGCCCAAGATCAGGCCACAAAATCCCACCAATCCCTGAGCTTGCCCCAAGATCAGGCCACAGGATACTTCCAATCCCAGGCCATTCTGGAAAGCTCCACCTTCTTCCCCTAGGAAACCCTATCTAAAGCCTGCCTTCCCCTCAGTTCTCCGCTGCCTCTCAGCAGAAGCAGGCAGCCTCGTGGGTTTTCCCTCCCAATAAGTCTCTTCTGTGAGGTTTGTTGTGCTGTGTGACTTTGTGGTGTCCCTTGGCTCCCAACTGCCAGGAAACCTTTCCCCTCTTAGCTGTAACACTTAAACACATAAACGCCTGGAGTAATCACAGCTTCTCTGTTTACAATCCACATATGTATTTACAATGGAAAAGGCCATTTGAAAGCATGTGTGGAGCTAGAGAGATGGCTTAGAGTTTAAGAGTACTTGCTGTTCTTGCAGAGAACCCAAATTTGGTTCCCAGGGGCACCCAGTTGGCTGATAACCCACTGCCTCTAACTGCAGCTCCAAGGAATGTGACCCCCCTCTTCTGTGAATACTCTCATCCACATATAGATTCTTTAAAAATAATGTATTGTCTTCAAAAATAAGACAGATAAAAATGAACATTTTTATCTCTATACTATATACATGTATGTGTTATATATGCACACATGCGTGTGTGTGCGTGTGCGTGTGCGTGTGTGTGTGGTTTGCATCTATCTGCAGGTAAGGAATGCAGGTGCTATGGAAGGTTGAAGACAAAGAAACTACTACTTAGGAACAAGAGGTCCACACGGAGTGTGAGTGGGATGTGGAGGACTCTGAAGCAGTCAGGGGCCTCCGGATTGAACGCTGGAATTAGGCACTTGAAAGCCCCAAGGTCTGTGTTTCTGGGTCTGGAAAAAAAATGCTGGGTGTCGGTGGCAGCTCTCCCTCAGTTTTCTCCAGTGACAGAAGCTTGCTTCCCAGCGTCTATACAGCCTGCGATTTGCAAGCAGGATTCTAAGACGACTGGAGCTGTGGTCAGCCACCCCCAGGGGACCGTGTGTATGTTTACTCCGCACTGGTTCATGGAGATGATAATTGGTTTCCTAGAAAAGTTGTGGTTAAAGAAGCCTCGGGGATGCCGAGAGGGCTCAGAGGTTAAGAGCACTTTCAGCGAACCCTGGTTTGATTCCCGGCACCCATATGGTGGCTCACAACAATCCATACCCCATAGGGGATCCAACAGATATGTATGTGGTGCACATACGTGCATGCAGGCAAAACATTCATACATGTAAAGTAAAATAAATAAATCTACAAAAAACAAAAACAAAAACAAAACTTCTTAAAGCCTTAGCCTCCTCTGCAGTCTCTCGGATGCAGTGGTGTGCTGGCTTCACTGGGTGATAGCTTTACTTGGGCCCTGTGAGCCTTATTCTTAGAAGCACAGTTCCAATTCACAGTGGAAAGTGAATTACCCAACCCGAGCCGGTGACTCTGTTCTTTTCTGTTGTGCTGGTTCAGGCCCTCAAGAGCCCAGTTTTCTGCTTCTGCCCCTTGAAAAGGCCATGTCACTTCTTGGAGCCTGCCACATGTCAAGGACTGACTCTTAAGGTTGGAATTTGGACACGCAGCATGCCACTGACATGTGGTACCCAATGTCCAAGAGACATTTAGTGCAAGAAAATGCATTTGTGTTATCTAAACTTCTTTCTCTTGGTTTTTAGGTGTATTTATTTACAACAGGCATCCAATAAGACGGGTGGATATCATGGGAACTGTCATCAGCGTGAGAGAAAGAGACACTTTCTACAGCTACGGAGGTAAGAGCCATGGTCTCTAAAGCTGAATTTATATGGATGGTCCCTTGCTCAGCTGAGAGTTGAAGGTTTAGCAGCCCTCACATTTGCAAGCAGCTGGGCCGTCATGAAACTGAGCGAGCGCTCTGTTGAGAGGCCCTCAGAGTTCCGTGTGTGGACAAAGTAAAAGAGGCCACAGATAAGAATGATGCTGGTGCCTGGGAGGGCTGGGAAGAGTTGAAATGCAGCAGTGCAGGGTCACTGGTCGGAGAAGTCACCTGACACCCTGTGCAGAGCCAAGCACTGGACGGTTTACAGTGATCCCTATGAGAAGAGGCTCAAAGAATGCAAAAATAGACGTGTTTAGAAGAGTGTAAATATCATTTAAAGATTTATATTCAGAACAGTCAGGGAAGAGGGGAAAAAAACCTTTTTGTTACTCAAGATGTAAATATCTGTTATCAGACTTGCCTGCTTCTCATGATGAAAACTAACATAGTTTTCTGTAGTTTGGACACCAAAGAATTGCTCAAATCTGTTTTAGTATAAGGGGTCTTGCTTTTGGGGGGGGTGGTTAATATATCTTTTTCTAAAAGATCTTATTTTCTTTCCAGTTATGTGAATATGCATGCAAGTGTGTGCGTGATTGTGTGCATGTGAGCCCAGGTGCTTGAGGAGGCAAGAACAGGGTGTCGGATCCCCGGAGTTGGAGTAGTGAGCAGCTGTGAGCCACCCAGTATGGGTACCTGGCACCGGAACCCATCTCTGCTCCTAACTACTGAGCCATCTCTCCAACCCAATGCAAGCATCTTCATTTGTTACATCATTGCATTAGCCGAACAACTCCAAGATTCTTAGACCTAAGAGGCCATGCTAGATGTTTGCAGGGAAGCATGATTTGAATTGCAGACCTTTGCTCTGATTGTCATCATTACCTTTTGTGGCATTGCCTGCAGGTTTTTTTGTTTTTGCTTTTTGGGTTTTTTTTCCCCCTTGCTGTACTTGGGGAATAGTGGGAGCTGAACTTTGTGTTCAAGAACATTTGGTTGACATTGTAGTATCATTGCATCTCACCAACATCTGCCTATTTTCCTGAAGGTGAGTGTCCTTCTGCTTATAAAAGCAGGGTTGGAGAGATGGCTCAGCAATTAAGGGCACTGGCTGCTCTTCCAGAGGTCCTGAGTTCAATTCCCAGCCACCACATGGTGGCTCACAACCATCTGTAGTGAGATCTGGTGCCCTCTTCTGGCCTGCAGGCAGACATGTGTGCAAAATGCTGTATATATAATAAATAAATCTTTAAAAAAAAAGAACATTTTTTTTAATTAAAGAAAGAACATGCATGAGATGAAATCTCTCCCTCTGCAAATTCTCTCTCTCTCTTTCTCGTGTGTGTGTGTGTGTGTGTGTGTGTGTGTGTGTGTGTGTGTGTGTGTGTGTTTTAAACCTTGCCAGGCATTGCTTTCCTGATTCTCTTTGCTATATTTTACCAAAGATGTTGGTCCTGTTTTTCTCTAAGACAACTCAGCAAGCAGGCACTAAACTCCTACAGTATACCCAGCTGTGGGCAAGTGCATTGTCTGTTGTACAATACAGTGCTATTCTCCAAATCCCGGGGTGATATAATCATGTCTTTCAGTTACAATGCACTTTTTATATTCATCATTTCATATTATTCTCCCCGTTTTGTTTAGAAATAGGAAGGACAAGTATTTCCACTTGAGAAAGCTATGACTCACTTAACTTTCTCAGGTTCTGTTGGGAGAGGCTTATGAGCCCATTTGATGGCTTACTTGCCCCCTGTGTGTGCTATTGTCTGCGTAGAGCTCATGTAGCTTTTCTCTCCCACATCCCCCTTTTTCTCCAGGCTGCCCTGACCCTAGTCATCTGGAGTTGATGTTTTCAAATCAAATAAATGAGCCTGTTGGGGATTCCAGTGCTGGCCTGAGAACTGGGTCTGACTTAGGCTAACGAGACTTCACTTAACACATTTCACCAGCATTTAAGGCGATATGTTTGGCTCCAGGAAGCCTTTCCCTCCAAGTGGGTGTTGTGAGAGCATGACATGTCTGTGGGCGACAGGAGAACAGCAGTATGGAAGTAGTTAGGAGCAGAGAGGCTGTGTACTTTGGTTTGTGTGGCCCGTTGAAGCAGAGAGCCGCTTTTCTCCTCCTGTCTGCAGGCCCAGCGTGGCTGTCCTCATGCCCGCCTCTGACTCACTGGAGGCGAGCACACACTGACTCATCCTAGTATCTCACTGGGGAAGGATGTGGTATGGCTTTGCAATGATTCTCCACTTCTAGGCCACTCAGCAGCAGGCCGCGGGAACCGTGCTACATGAGAAGTGGCAGACCGGAGAAGTCGGGGTTTGGTGGCCGTGCCCATAGGACACAGAGCCCCTGGCAGCAGCTTGAGCTCTGATGTGGCTCTCGAGAGGCTGAGGTTAGACCAGGATCCCCTAGAACAAATGTTCACCATTCACTTCCAATATAAACAAACACTCCGAGCCAGCTGCCATGGTTCCAAGCCAGCTGCCATGGTTCCTGCCTGTGACCCAGCACTCATGCAGCTGATGCATGCAAAGGACCCCTGCAAGTTTGGGGCCAGCCAGAGCTACATAGTGAGCAGGAGCCAGCCATGGAGTGAGACCCTGGGTCTTTTCGTTTTTGTAATTTAACAACTAATGTTCATATTGAATGTAGGCGTCTTCCCACATACTCCAAAAGATTCTGCTACTAGCATTTACTATCTTAAAATCATTTCTATTGAAACACACTGTTCAGTTTTTACATATGTTAGATTTATAAGGTATGGGGATTTGTATTTTACAGTGAGGCATGCGTATCTTTCAACAGTAAAGACCCATCATTATAGCCCGTTAGTCTCATACACTATGTTGTTTCAGTTTACTAAATCAACTACATACATGTTTATAAACATTCATGTTGTTCCTATTTTCTGTTATAAGCACTACATCAGTGAGCAGTGTTGTGCAAGATGTAGACGTCTGTGCACTTGTTCTGTCTTCCTCTGTGGGATAATTCACTAGAAGGAACTGCCAAGTCAAAGGGTGTGTGCACTTCCAAATCTGATGCTTGTTCCCAGTCTTGCTGTTTAGAAATGAGCTGCTGATTTATCCCCCAGTCGTAGCCAGCGAGGGCATCAGTATCTCTTTGGTGGGTGTGTGTGTGTGTGTGTGTGTGTGTGTGTGTGTGTGTGTGTGTGTTGGGGATGGAGCCCAGGGCTTCGTGCACGGTAGGTAAGAACTATATGACTGAGCCATGTCCTTACCCTGGTTATCAGTATTTTTAACTGTCAGTGTAGAAGCTGAGAAATTATTTAAACTTGATTTCTTTGGTGGCAATTAGTGGATTTAGCATATTGACATGTATTTATCCATTTGCCCCTTAACGCATTTTGCATGCGTGGCACACCTCTTTTCCTTGACATTTCTTCTCTTGTGGTCTTGGTGTTTCCCTCAGTAGTTCATAGGAACTCTTTGTCTGTTAAAGCAGTAACCATGTATTGGAAAAGTTGCCATCTGTTATTGGTTTTAGGTCAGCAATGCATCCAAACTTTGTTCAGTGAGTGACAATGTTCAGATTTAGGAAGTCTTTTCCTCCCGATCCACATCCAGAGCCTAAGGATGGTCACCATAACCCCTTCTCACATCATTTGCCTGTTTTGTGTTAACAAAATGAACTTATTCCTCTGTAAGGGAGCGTCTAACCTTCTTCTGCAGAGATTTAAACCAACAATAAAGAATTCCCCTCCTTATATTCAGTGTTGCCTCGGCCTTTACAACAACGGTCTGCTTGTTTCCCTTTGTTTTACTACTCTGCTTAGCAACCTGTGTTTGGAGTTTGTCAGAATTCTGGCAAAGAGAAGATCCTTCTTCACTCTGCAAAGATCTCCAAGTTCCTCTGCAGTCTCAAATCTGAGTCTCGTGGGAATTGTCTGATTTTATTTTACTTTTTTTTCCTTTTGACACTATTAATGAAATAAGCCAGACCGGTTTTATTTTTGCGGCCAGAGTATAGTTATTTTCTGGTACGAAAATGACACTGGGTCTTTCTGTGAGGACCTTGGTCATCCTCATACCCAGCATCGGTCAGGGCCGGGCAGGAGCCTTTCCACAGAGAAGCTCCTGGGCCAGGTGACGTGGACCACTCTGCTTGGGCAGTGAGCAAGCGTGAAGTAGAGGTGCCAGAAGGCTGAGCCTGGAGTGCCAGAGCCTCTGACCACAGCACGCTGTACTTTCTTGTGTGTGTGTGTGTGTGTGTGAGAGAGAGAGACAGCGGAGGGAGGCAGGTGTGGATGTGGGCACTCTCTGGGGATTTTTTTGCACCTAACTTCCTGAGGATGCACTGTGCTACCAGACTAAATACGATTCATCACTGCCACTGAGGCAGGGTGAGGGGAATGCTGAAAGGGTCCATTGGACTCGTGTGTTACATGCTTGCAGTAAGCAGTTCATGCCGGTGTGTAGTGCAAGGTTGCTTCTGAAGACAGTTTATTTGCTTGTTTGTTTTTATTAATCTTTTCACTTATTTTATACCCTGACTGCAGTTCCCCTCCTTCCTCCTATTTCCTTCTCCTCTTCCACTCACAGGGAGAGTTTTTGTTTTTTTTTAAGGGAATTGCTCCACTAGGCTGTTGAAACTGTTGTGTGACTGAATGCAATGACGACATTGGATTGGTCAGCTATGCCCAAGTCTCTAACCTACCCGTTGATGCTTCTCTTTCAGTGGATGATGCCACAGGAGTTATAAACTGCACCTGCTGGAAAAAGGACAATGCTGAGTCTGCATCAGGTAATTACATTTGTCACAGTCTCTTGATTTCCTGATAAACAAAGGGTTTTGCTCATCAGGCAACTCTCAGAGTGTTTTCACCCTAAGCCCCTGATGTCTTGCATTGGTGGCCCTGACACACTGTCCCCAGAGCTTTGGCTGGTGATTGCTTTAGTGGCAATTGCTTCTCTCCTATGGGGAATGAGGAAGGAATCCTGGAAGTTTCTACAGTACAGTTTTTACCTTGAATATTTTGCAAGTCAAGATATTGTAGCCTACTGGTCCATCAGGTCAGATCCCTTGACCAAAGCTTCTGAAGATTGCCCTTCCTCCTTGGTTGCCACTGATGTCACTGCTGCCATGATGTGGATTAGTTAGCCATTAGGTGACATAAATCTTAAAAACTGTATTTTGAACACATTGAGTAACTGGAGCATTTGGAATTACAAGAATATATTTCAGTGATGCCTGGTGTGTGTGTGGTGTGTGTGTGTGGGTGTGTGTGTGTGTGAGAGAGAGAGAGAGAGAGAGAGATTTTGTGTGTGTGTTTGTGTTACTAGTGTTACTAGGATAAAATCTAGGGCTTAAAAACATGCTGGGCAAGTATTCTTGCCATGGATTTACAGCCTTCGGCTCTCGTTAGGTAGTTTTTAAGGTTTATTTAATCTATTTTATGTGTATGGAGTTTTACCTGCATGTATATCTGTAGCACATACATGTAGTACCTACAGAGGCCAGTACCAGAAGAGGGTGTCAGGTCCTCTGGAAATGTAGTTACAAAGGATTGGAAGCCACCATGTTAGTGCTTGGAACCCAACCTGAGTCCTCTGTGAGAGCACGAAGTGCTCTTAACCCGAGGCGTGTCTCCAGCCCCTTACATAATTGTTGACATTCTCTTGTAGAGAACTCATGTCCAGTTCCAAGCACCCACATGATGACTCTCAGCCTTACATAACTGCAGTTCCAGGGGCTCCACAGCCGCCTTCTGATTTTACCATGCACCAGGCATATATGTGGTACATACAAATTCATTCAGGCAAAATATTAGTACACATAACAAAACAATTGCTTTTTAAGTTAGTTTTTCAAGACAGGGTTTCTCTGTTTATAGCCCTGGCTATCCTGGAACTTACTGTGTAGAGCAGGCTGACCTTGAACCTGGAGATTTGCCTACCTCTGGCTCCCAAGTGCTGGGATTAAAGGTGTGCACCACCACCCAGCATAACATTATTTTTAAAAAATTAAATTAAGATCATAATAACTGGAAGGGTGTTATGCATTGTTAGTGATCACTTTCAGCTTTGAGAAGTCACACATACTGGCATTCTTTTTTGTTCTGTGTTGTAACATACAGAGAATCATGGTACCCATGTGGGGTTGTCAAGTTTCTCTCTCCAATATCTAACCTCTGTGTCTGTCAGTGTATGTTGCTGGAATGTCTCCTGCTTATGAGGCCCCCTCTTTGCTTTTGCTATCATGTGTCAGAATCCCAGCTTGCCTTTGGCTGTACTGACCAATGGCATGCTCGTTTGCTTAGTTTCCCAGTGTACTTATATTTAGAAATTAGCTAGTTTTGTGTAACTTTAGCATTCCTATTCCTAATTTGAGAACATCTTAAACTCATGGCCCTGCTTTGCTTAGGAGGTATTATAGGTAGACCTAAGGCAAGAAATAAACCTGTAACTCAATCAGATATTGAGATTTTTGTACAGTTTAGGACACTTGTCTTAGTCTGTGGTTCTATAACTACTTTTCTAATTGCTGTGACAAAGTATCTGGCATAAGGAACTTTTTGTTTTTGGTGGTAGGGGTGGTGGGGTGGTGGAAGGTCTCACTATGTAGCCCTGGCTGCCGAACTCACTGTGTAGGTTGGCCTTCAGTCATAGAGATCCACTTGCCTCTGCCTTCTAATTGCAAGTGCCACCATGCACAGTCAGAAGGAACATAAGGACTGTTATGTTTCAGCTCACAGTTTTGTCAGCGAAGGCACGGAGACAGGTGAGTGGTGTCCCTGGGCACATCACATGCACAGGAAGCAGAGGAAGACTGCTACTGTCCCTTCACCACCTCCCTTTGGTTCATGTTCAGCTGGGGATCCCAGCCTGTGGATGATAGCACTCACAGTCAGGGTGGATTCCTTCTTTAGTTAAACCTTTCTGGAGCCAGCCTTGTGGACACACCCTGAGTGTGTTTCTGTGGGGATTCTAACTCCAGGCTAGTTGATGATGAAGACCCACCACCACCGTGCTGTTACACAGAATGCTCAGGCAGGTAACTTACTACACACAATTTGTCTCTCTGTACTGGAGGTTGGAAATCCAAGATTAAGTACGGAATGGTCTCGTGACTGGTAGAGGCTGGTCTCCACCTCCAGGATGGATGTTCTTCCTCTGGAGTACCCCCCACCCCCATGGCAAAGGAGCCGAGTGAGAGAAGGCCCCTGCACAGCTTACATCCACTGTCCTTGTGGGCTAAGCACCTCCCAGTCAGATCCACTCCTAACACTGCTGTGTTGTTACTGTGCTCTGAATGAATGTCCCTCAAAGGTCTATTAAATACTTAGTCCCCAGGGCTGGCAGAAATGGAAAAATATTGTAGACATATACGAGATGGGAACTAATGTGAGGTCATAGGGACATCCATCAAAGGGATGACTTTGTCTCATCACAAACCGTAGGGATCACCTGACCTTGGACTCGGATGACTAGAACTATCAGCCAAAATACAGCTCTGTATTCTACAAGTAGTCTGACTCAGTGTTTCATTACCATGATGGAACCCTGGCTGGTACAGTTTCAACCCATGAGACTTGAAGGGCAGAACATCATGCCAGCCACAGAAGCATTATACGTCATTTGCAGTTCATAGCTTTGTTCATGAATTTTTGCTCAGAAGGTGTAATTTGTCTAGCCACACTTGAGTTAAATGGAGGGTGTGCAAACTTCTATAAAGGGACAGATGGTAAATATTTTCTGTTTTGTAGACATGATCTACCTCAGCTACTCAACACTGCCATTTTAGCACAGGGTGGCCATGGATGATACATGGGACAATCCGGCATGGTTCTGACCCAATAAAACTCTAAACAGGCTATAGATTGATTTGATCTGTGGTTTAGATACTGTTTTTTGTATTCTAAATTAACTCTTTTTGAGCGAACAGGGTCTCACTATATTGCTCTGGCTGATTGAAACTCACACCGAACCCTTTGCCTCCCCAGTGCTGGCATCAAAGGGTGCTACCCATCCAGATTAATTCACTCTTTTTAACGACGTGGCATGATCAGGAACACTGTGTAACTCTTGTACTTAGTAATAGTGATGTCTTAGAACAACAGAATGGCAGTTAATACTGAGCACACCAAGAGGTAGATGTTTTAAAGTTGGAAAGCAGAAGAACCAGTGAGCAATTACAGAGTAGTTTCCATTTCAAAGCCAATAGAAAGAAAATGGTAAGTGTATCGGGGAAGCCTAGAATGGGGTCTTGTCATGTTTCAGTGAAGTGGTATTTTTAGATCGTTCCCAACTCACTCATTCGCTGCTTTTAATTTAATTGCCCCTAAGTTTAAAAACTTTCCATTGGAAGGTGGCCAAAAAAGACAATTTTTTAAAAACAAAATTTAGTTTGAGTCAAAATTATGTTCCAATCAGTTAAATAAAGGATGTAATGTGAACTATGAGTGTTACATTTACTGTACTGTTTGCATTTAGCTTATGAGCCAAGTTAAGAAGGCCCAGGTTTCACTGTTAGACTCTTGTCTTCAGGATCACAAAAGCCAAGTTCTGTCAAGCTCCCGCCATCTCGTTACATTCATTCAATTACACACCAGAGGCTGCTTTCATCAGTTTCGCTTAAATGAAAGCTGGGCCTCTTCTCAGATCAGCTGTCAGACTCATGTCGTTGGTGCTGCTTGGAGCTTTTATTATCTCCGGTGATGTCTGCATAGTGGCAATGGAGTCTATAAATACCCTTCAACGTCAGGTTGAGTGGAAGAGGACCTGGAAATAGGAACATGGGGAGAGCAGCCTTTAAGAAAGTGATTTTTGTGTATTTTCAGAAGGAACCCAGTGAGCTAAGCAGCCATGTTGCTTTGCATCTAGTTTCCTAGGCGTCAGTTACCAAAGGCTCACAGTTCTTCGTGCTTGCTTTGTTGCTATGGGCCTTGGTCCAGCAAATGTGCTCTAATGCTGCTACACATGACAAATCCATGACTGTTGAAACTATAGTTGGTCAGAAAATCCGATCAAAAGTGTTGTGTGATATTTTGATTGTGTTCTGACAAATAAAGCTTGCTTGGAGTCAGAGGGTGGAGTTAGCCACTAGCTGACCAGAATTAACCTCAGAGCCTTTGGAAGATGGAGGACAGGAAGTAGTAAGGTGTGGCAGAAAGGCATCTTGCTGTCTGTGTGGAGGAAGGACCCGAAGGGGCAGGTAGGGAGGACTGACTGGTGGCTTCTCTGCTTCTCCAATCTTTCAGGCTCTCAACCCCAAAATCTGACTCCTGCATTTCTACTAATAAAGAATAGAGTAATGCTTCATCTGGCACTCAACATGGCTTGAACCTACGACTCTGAGATTAAGAGTCTCATGCTATACCGACTGAGCTCCTCTGTGGAGACACCACACCATACCAAGACAAACCAGAGTACAGGAAATAAAGCAGCATTTAACAAATGCCTTTTTGGGTAGAGGATAATATCTGGAAAGAGTTGGCCATGATTCCTATCCTGCAGCTCACATAAAGGAACCTAAAGAAGACATGTGTATCTATCCCAATGAACATGCTATGTTCTAGTAAATCCCAACTGCTGGATCACTAAAAACAGTCAGGAGCAACAAGAGGAGTGGATTCAAAAATAAGATATTTTTAAATCATTATGCAACAGAAGGAAATGAAAAAAATAAGATATTTTTAAATCATTATGCAATAGAAGGAAATGAAAGAAATGTTAAAATAAAGCAAAGGGCAGTATGTGTGATGAGCATCATGCTTATAGCTTACTTAAAGTTTACATGAACCCATCCGTGCAGGCAGGCTGTGAGCAACAAAGCGTGCACAGTCTGTCATCTCATATAAAAACAGCCAGCGCGTGCCAGGGACAATGCAGTAACCCCAGCATTGGGAGGTAGAGGCAGGAGGATCAGACGTTCAAATTCACTCTTGCTGTATATTGAGTTCCAGGCCAGAGTGGACTGCATGAGACCCCAATAAACAAAACATCAGAAATCATACATGGCTTCTTTTGCTATTTGTTTTAATTTACTTCTTAGTGGTTTTGTTTTGTTTTTAAACATGGTCTCTTGTAACCCAGCTACTCTTGAATTCACAGCATAGCTGAGGCTAGCCTGGAACTCCTGACCCTACGCCTCCCTAGTGCTGGGTCACATTAAACGGCTCCACTCCCAGTCCCTCTTCCCAGTTAAAAATCAACAGAAAACTGGACATATTAGGCCGTGTTTGGTTGCTGTGGCAGGTTAGTGGGGGAGCTGTGAGCACACTTGCTTTGCTAATGACAAGTGTGAATGCAGGGTGAGGTTTTTCTGGCAAATGCAGTAACAAGTGACAGGTTGTAAAGTCAGTGAAAGTCCCCAAAGAAAATACTTGCCTAGAGAGCTCAGTCATTTGATGTCAAAAATACCACATATTTGTCACTTCCTCTGTCCATGGTTTGCAAAATTGAGTCATGGACGGTAGTCATGTGTATGTATGTTGTGTGCATATGAACATGTGTGTGTATGTGTGTGCATGTGAGCATGTGCATGTGAACATGTGTGTGCATGTGAACATGTGTGTGCACGTGAGCATGTGTGATATGTGTGTGCATGTGAACATGTGTGTGCATGTGAGCATGTGTGATATGTGTGTGCATGTGAGCATGTGTGATATTGTGTGCATGTGAACATGTGTGTGCATGTGAGCATGTGTGTATGTTATGCATGTGAGCATGCATGTATGTGTATGTGAGCATGTGTGTGTGCAGAAGTAGACTGCCATTGCCCTCATTTCCTTGGTTCATTCAGTGGAGGAGAGAGAGACATCAGGGTGGAGAAGAAGAATATCAGGGAGATGTCAGCACAGCTAAGAGCCCAGCTGAGATGCAAGTTAGGCTTCTCTGACTGCAGGTGCTGCCCTTCACACTGTACCTGCCCAATGCAGGTGATAAAAACCAAAATGAAAAGTCTTCAAAAGGGAAGAAATTTGCAGCAGACTAGCTAACTAAACTGCTATATTAACATGACAAGATGTTAGGTTGTGTGAAAGACTGAGTAATTCTTAGCACTCCAAGGCTGAAGCAGGGGTAGAGGGTTCAAGGTCATCTGGGGTTGAATAGCAAGACCACATTTCAAAAACCAAAGCAATAACAAAATGTTGAGTTATGTGGCTTCTGTGAATACATAGCTGTATTTAGAATTACAGTAGGCAGAACAGAGCATTGTAACTAGAGTTTTCTTTCCAGCCTGGTCCTGCCACCTTTCAGCCCCAAATAAGCACACAGATGCTATATTACTTATTAAACTGTTGGCCGATGTCTAGGGCTTCTCATTGGCTAGCTTTGTCTTAGTTATTAACCCATAACTACTAATCTGTGTATTTCTATATTGTCTTGGCTTACCGGAGAATGCCTGGACCTGTTACATTTGGTGGCTACATGGCATCTTTTCGCTATCTCTCTCTCTGGCTACCTTTCCCATAATTCTCCTCATCTCCTAGTCCCATCTGTCTTCCTGTCTCTATTGGACAAACTGTTTTATTCATCAACTAGTAAGAGAAGCATTTGTACAGAAGGACATTCCCCATCAGAACATTGGGTCTTTACTTAGTTACTCTGATTACAGAAAATGGCTGGATCCTCTGAGGCAGGTAGTGGACAGATTAGTATAAACCACGGTCTCTGCAGCCAGACATTGTAGTTCACCCTGCAGCCTTCCTTGTTAACCAGCTGTTTTATTTTGGACAAGTTGCTTGACTTCTCTGTGACACAAGTTTCTCACGTCTGAAATGAAGGCAGCAGAAGGAAGTAGCTGTGAGGTTTGGATGTGCTAGTGTATTATAAAGTCCATAAGAGAGCACATGTGCATACACACACACACACACACACACACACACACACACACAATGTGTACACACATGTGTATACACATACATGTACACACACATACATATACACATACACACACATACGTTCAGAATGTGTTGATGTATTGTATAGTCTGTAGAAGAGCACCTACACACACACACACACACACACACACACACACACACACACACACACACACGTTCAGGGTTCTTAACTTTGCCTGCCCGGTAGTTCCCAAATAGCCACTCTAAGGCTTGATATTAACTATAATTGTTTGGCCAATGGCTTAGGCATATTACTGCCTAGCTCTCACAATTAAATTAACCCATCTTTACTCATTTGTGTATCATCGTGTTTTTACCTACCAGTAATGTTCTGGTATGTTGCCTCTTTGGCAGCTGCATAGTGTCTCCCTGACTCCACCTTCCTTCTCTCTGTATCTTCGTTTGTATTTCCTGCCTGGCTCTATTCTGCCTGGCCATTGGCCAAATCAGCTTTATTTATCAACCAATAAAAGCAGCACATGGTCACAATGTACAGAAGGATGTCCCATATCAGGGCAGAGTCTCCGCACAAACACTAATACTGCAGAAACAACATAAGACATACAAATAAGAGGACTGTGCTCAGGGAACTGTTGAGGTGGTCATGCAGGGTTGGAAAGGACACTGCAGCCACCCTGGAACTTTGCCACTTGGCCTCACTCCAGAATCTTCTTGTGTTCTGCTTTTTGGGTTCTTATAGCTTATACTTCTGTGTAGATTTGAGAAGATATGAAGATCTCTAACAGAGCACATCACCAGGGAACAAATGTACTGCGTTGCTGTGTCCCCAGCATGGAGGGACACTTGCCTATGCCTCTCTTCTTTTCTCCTGCCCCCCACAGACGCAGCTGCTCCAAGCACTGCAGGAGAGCTAAGCATGACCTCACAGCTTAAGAGATTGCAGGAGACCATTAAGCAGAAAACCAAGATAGAAATTGGGGATGTCATCCACGTCAGAGGCTATGTGCGCATGTTCAGAGAAGAGCGAGAAATCTGTGCTACCCTTTATTGTAAGCACGGGGACTTCTGCCAAATGAGTGGCTCTTCTGGGTATGTGCTCTGTAAATGCTTGTTTAGCTCCAAGTCAGAACTGCAGACGATTCACATAAGATTTAAGTCTAATGGGGAAATTATGTTTAGCGTGTTTTTAGGAAAACAGCATTTTTAAATTTTATTTTGAAGAATGTTAATTACAGTAAATTGGGAAAGAGTGAATTACTAGCTGGGCGGTGGGAGCAAAGAAAAGTTGAAGAGTATCTGGACAGCACCACTGTTTCTGAAGTACTGTGAATTCTAAATGTCAGTCCATTAGGGCAGAGTGTTCCAGTTCCTCAAAAAGATGGAAATATCTTGAACACCATTAAGCCCATTAGTTTTAATGGAAATAGCTAATTAGAAATAGTCCCGAATCGCCCTTTTGCACTGTGCTGGCTGATTTTCAACTGAAAATCTCAAAAGCAGCCAGGCATGGGTGACACACACCTTTAATTCCACCACTAAGGAGACAGAGGCAGGCAGAGCTCCATGCAGTAGAGGCCAGCCTAGTCTACATAATGAGTTACAGGTTAGCCAGGGCCATAGAGAGGACCTGTCTTAAATAAATATATATATATTTCAAGGGCTAGCCCTGCAGTATGTCAGCATAACACAGAAATCACCAATGACAGTCCTGTCCCCACCCCAGATGTGGCTGTCACACACAAGGCATTGTCTTCTCTCTCAGGGGATGGCTGGGAACTGTCCTGTGATTCTAGACTTCCGTCCCATTGGTGATTTGGACGGGGAAGGAAGTGCTCTCGGAGTTACTTGTATGGCATCTTTTTCCTGGGGTGTTAGATAAGGTGGACGATCCAGTGTGGAACATTCAAATTGCAAGGATGCTTGAGCTACCTGCACTCTACAAGAGAGTATATGACCAGCCCTTCCGCAACCCAGCCCTAAAGGAAGAAAAGGCATTCAAGTAAGTTCCCTCATCATTGCTTGAGTGACGACAGCAGGGAAGCCTAGCAGTTGGAGCCAGAGACTGGGGTGACGGTACCAACCCTCAAATACCCACCTGAGTATGGTGGGGCTCCAGTCCTCTCTGCCTCAGTTTCCTCTCCTGAAAAGTGGAGGTGACTGTAGCACAGAGGTTCTAGGTTTGTGAAGGAAATGTGAGTATATTATAGTAAGAGTCACTAAAGGACTGGCGGGGAGCACGGGTGAATACCGTAAATGAATGGCGGGGAGCACAGTGAATACCGTAAATGAATGGCGGGGAGCACAGTGAATACCATAAATGAATGGCGGGGAGCACAGTGAATACCATAAATGAATGGCGGGGAGCACAGGTGAATACCGTAAATGAATGGCAGGGAGCGCAGTGAATACCGTAAATGAATGGCGGGGAGCACAGGTGAATACCGTAAATGAATGGCGGGGAGCACAGGTGAATACCGTAAATGAATGGCGGGGAGCACAGTGAATACCATAAATGAATGGTGGGGAGTGCAGTGAATACCGTAAATGAATGGCGGGGAGCGCAGTGAATACCATAAATGAATGGCAGGGAGCACAGGTGAATACTTGATGGTGGCTGGAACGTCTTCAAATTACAGGAAATCTCTAAACTCACAGATCCAAGAAGCTTAGCAAACCCTGAAGTGAGAACCATGGAGAAAACTGCACAAGGCTCTTCATAGTCAAAACACTGCCACAGTGCACCGCCACCCTGATCCTGCAGTTCCCTCCATAAGACAACAAACTCACCTGGGTTGTTCTCAACCAGGACAGATTTTATTCCTATATAGTGGAACAAACAAACAGAGCCCGAGAAGAATATGAATATGCAGGCATTCACTAAAATATGAGATGAGATGAAGAAAATCACTCATCAGTGGCGTCCTGGTGGTTTCAAGCTGGGGGGGGGGGTGGCAGAATGAGGCATTGTCTTAGGATTACTATTGCTGCAATCAAATACCAAGACCAAAGTAACTTGGGGAGGAAAGGGTTTACTTGGCTTACACTTCATATCACTGTTCATCATTGAAGGAAGTCAGGACAGGAACTCAAGCAGGGCAGGGACCTGGAGGCAGGAGCTGACGCTGAGGGCATGGAGGATGCTGCTTGCTCAGTCTCCTTTCTTATAGAGCCCAGGACCACCAGCCCAGGGGTAGCCCCACCCACAATGGGCTGGGCCCTTCCCCATCAATCACTAATTAGGAAAATACTCCACAAGCTTGTCTGCACCACACTCTTAGGGAGGCATTTTCTCAGCTGAGGTGCTCCCTCCCCTTAAATGACTATAGCTTGTGTCAAGTTGACATAAAAGTAGCCAGCACAGAAAGGATCCTTTTTATTGGGTTGGGGGCAGAGGAGTTAGAGAGACAGCTCAGTGGGTAAAGTGTGTTCCCCAAGCGTGAGGACAAGGCTGGGAAGGCTGGTGCTCAAGCCGGCGTCCGTGGGGGACGGAAGGCAGGATCGCTGGGGCCGCTGTCCGTTTCTTTACCTCTGTAGTCAATGAGAGGTGGGGTCTCAGGGAATAAGGTGAAGAGTGACAAAGCAGGGCATCCAGTGTCTTCCTCTGGCCTCTGCATGCACACAACACACACACACACACACACACACACACACACACACACACACACACACCACACTTTTTTTTTTCCATGCTAGAGAATGAACCAGGACCAAACTCAAGCTAGGCAAGTAGTCTACCACTGAGCTGTACCCACTGCCCTGTCTCTGACTTCCTAAACATGCAAATATATTACTTATACGATAAGTCATATAACACAAGCAGAGGTTTATAGCACAGTAAGTGGAAATTGTCTCCAAGCGCTACCACCCAGAGGTTACCAGCGCTCCCAGGTTGCCATGGTTCCCTTATGTGCCTTTATTCTGTGCATATAATCTATTATTAGTGTCTGCCAGTTCGTACAGCTCTACCACACCCACATGATGGCCACTGTAAGAATTACCCTTTTTAAAAACAAACAAACAAACAAACCCCCCCAAAACCAACAACAACAAAAAGCAATCGCCAGCACGGAAGGCGTCCCTTAGCTAGCTTTTGGTTTTGTGCACAGTGTAGGCAGCAGAGGTGACAGTTCCTGCAAGGCATTTTAAAATTCTGCCCCTGCAGCAGTACAGACGCCTTGGATCCTGGTGGCCTCACATCTTTGTTGAGTGAGAAAATCAAAGAATTCCTCCAGGAAAAGGACGTGCAAACCTTCTACCAGCAGGAATTGGAAATAGAAGAGTCCTTGCAGCCCCTGGCCAGCCAGCTTGTGACTCACAGCACCTGTCCCAACCAAGTAAGTGCAGCATGCTCATGGGGGACCCTGCCCTGCGCCTGCAGCTGAAGGGTGAGTGCATGAGTGATTGGTGGGAAGACTCCTGCAGGGGATGGACTCCGAAAGCAGAGATCACAGTTCTAGCATGTACCATTTCTATTCTGGAAAGGTCACTGACAACTAGGAATTTGAAATGCAGCTGGGCCTGCCCTTGTCCGGTCTTCACTCAATCACGTTACACTTAATGTCTGAGTAGAAAATAATAGCAGGCTAAGGTCACAGCACCTAGTTGCTAGTACTCACTGAGATGGGTGTTTAATCTCAGAGCAAGTAAGTGAGGGTATGGGGGTAAGAGGAGAGAATTACCCTCCCTCCAAGCTGACAGTTGGACAGCAAGATGACACCTGGGCCAGGGTTTTTAATGACTTGGTCTTTTCCTTGAAAAAGCTAATCTCTCCTGTTGTAGGAATTCACATAAAGTGCGTTCAGTCACATTTATAACTAAAACGCTCAAAGAGCTTTCCTGTTGCTCTTGGTGACTCTGCCCTTGTCCCTCGTGTTCCAGGCTGGTTTGTTATTTGGTCTTCTACATTATATGAAGTCATGACTTACCAGAAATTGTGGGTTAGGCTTTTCCTTGCCTTGCTGTTCTTGGGTTTGTGCTGTTGCGTGTGACTGTGTATTGACTTTGAACTGTGTGTGCTCAGCTCACAGATGACCTTTCAGCCTCCTCGCCTGCCTGCTGCTCCCCTCTCACTATCTTCAGAGAGCAGTGTGCTCTTCAGTGTGTGTGGCAACCCTGGTACTCGCCCTCCCTGCCCTCTGTCAGTTACATTCGTGTCTGATGTCACTGCCGCTTGTCCCTGGCTGTCCTTACGCTGTTACATCCCGGTCTGTGAAGTCACTGGCACATGTTTGCCCACCTGTTGGTCTACCAGAATGTAAGACCTGTGAGGAAGAGGCCATCTGTCTTGTTCTTTGCTCTACACGAACTCCAGTAGGTTGGGAGAAAGCAGACTCCAGTTAAGGAATGGTGGCTTTTTAAATCCAGATGGTCCCAGAAAGTGACGAGTCTGTTTTCCTCCTATCCTCCAGCCCCCCAGCCCTCGCTTCTGATCCCCGGGACAAGCGCTGTCCTTGTCTCCTGAACACGCACCTGACTGTATGCTGAGCTTGTATTAGCAGTGGTGTTTGTGTCCTGTCCCCTCTTTTTACCCACATGGGAATGCACTGTGGTCTTCTTCAGGAGACCTAGCTTTCCAGTGAGCATCTTTCTGCTCTTTCCTGGTAGGACATAGAGTTTGCCACCATCTGAAAGCTTTCATTACCTATACCCAAGGATGAGTTCACGCACATACTCAGTCTCTGTTCTGCCGCTGTCTTGACACTTTCCAGTCCTCTCCCATCACTGGCCAGGATGCTCTGAGTGTCCTCACTCTGCATGCTCCTGGTGGAACAGGTACCATCTCACCATCCTTCTTGGATTGTCCACATGCCTAATTACCTCTTCCTGGCAACAGGCTGTGTGCCCAGTGACCCAGGGTTTCATACAGAGACATAAGGGATAGTGTTTCAGAAAATATCAGGTGGAGGTCATGGCTGGGAGCTTTGCTCTTTGCCAAAGTTGCCTCTAACCAGCCTCAGCTCTCCAGCCGTCTACCTCCCGTTGTCCATCTTTCTGTTTGCTCTTTTAGAAGGTCCTCAGAGCCAAAGACCCTTTAGGACTTCTGATGGCTCTCAGTGTATTTGCCAGTAACTTCCTCCATCCCTGTCTTCTCTCCCCTTTTCCTTTTAAAACATCTTTTAAATTACATGCGTGTGTGCACATGTGTGGGAGTGTAGAGGTATGAGGGCAGCCTGCAAGACTCCATTCCATTTGGGACCTGAAGCTCATGTTATTAGACTTGGAGGCACACACCTTTTCCAGCTGAGCATCGCACAGGTCCTTTTTTTTTTTTTTTTTTTTTTTTTTTTTTGAGACAGATATTGTTCTATAGTCCAGGCTGTCCTGGAAGTTTCGAAATAACTCAGACTGGTCTCAGATTCATAGTCCTTCTAATCACACGTGCTACCATGCCCACGACGAGGAAACATTAAGTAGTGAAGCCATGATGGCTGCAGTGAACTCGAAAGACGTAAGGACTCCCCCGTCAGATTGTCCTATGGGAAGTTTTGGCATGGTATCTTTTTGAAAAGGCTTAGAGAAGAAAAGTGTATCTGTCCAGTGTGAATATGATGCTGTATTTGTTTTTCTTTGCAAACGATTTCTTCCATCAATTATGAATCAGTTGGTCGAATTGCACTGCTTGGGAGGTCAGTGTCACTCAATTGAATTCCATTTAATAGCACCCTGGGAGACTGCAGATGCTCACAGTGATGCAGAAACCTGAGAGCCTGGGCACTCTCCATTGCCACTCATGAAAGCTCAATTCCCTTTCTCTCCATTTCTTTCTTCTGTTTTTTTTTTTTTTTTTCCTAACGTCACTCTTCTTAGCAAATCCAGAAACATGATAAGCAGATCTTGCAAAGCCATTGTTTCTCTGACAGCTGGATGGATACTGAGTTTGTGTGGGAGCTCAGACTCTGTATATTTCAGGAAGCCACCGCTCCTGCAGGGCCTGAGTCTCAAGTCACTGCCTCGCTCTGTGAGCAGTTTTGGTTTCCTGAATTGTGCGTGTTTGTCATTGTTCTTTTGAAAATGACAAGCAGAACGCAGACCTCAGTCCAGGAAGCTGCTGGCCTTCCAGAAGAGACACCCTCCTGCCCCTGCCCTCCCCCTCCCAGACCCTGAGAGCACATCCTGAGGTCACATGAGGCAAGTGTCTCTGGAAAGATGATTCCCATATTGTGTCTAGTTGTGGAGAGCTGAGTTTGCTTCGTCCTCCCTGTCACAACTGCAAGCCTTCGCTCTCCCAGGCCTGCACGCCCTCTTCCCGCCAACCTTGCCTTCCAGAGGAGGGAGCACACGTGGAAAATTGCCCAGCAGTGTGAAGGCTAGGCTGTGAACAGACAAATCAGAATTGAAGCACAGAGCAGTTAACAAGTGTGACCCTGCAGAGCAGACTTTGGGGCGAGCCCAAACACCTGCCTGCTCTGCTGACACAGGCCTAGAGTGTGCTGACTCGGCACAAGGAAAGCCTGTTGGGTGAATTCATAAGCCAGTCAGTGTGGGGAGTTAGTCACAGGTGATGGAAGATGAAACTTACTTCCCTCTCTTCCCTGTGCAGGAGGAATCAAAGAACAGCACCACTTCCGGTACAGCTCACAGTGTGTTTAAGAATGCTGTTCAGCTGCTGCAGGAAAAGGGACTCGTGTTCCAGAAAGACGGTGGCTTTGATAAGCCGTACTACGTAAGAGACCTGCAGCTTAAGTTCCCCTTTGTAGCTTCCATTACAAACACATTAATACTTAGGAAAACCTACCTACTCGTTTCCAAAATAGTCATCAGGAGGTATGTAAGTCAAAATCCTGTTAGCTCTGACCTTTTCACAATCTGATTCTCCTCATCCCTGGTTTTGTGAGACAATCTTGCTCCATAGCCCAGTCTGGCCTAGGCTGGCCTTGAACTGATAACCTTCTGCCTCCACCTCTCCAATGCTGCGATTGTAGGCATGTGCCACTACACCTGACCCACCTAATATCCTTCTAAAATATTTTTGTGCATTGATAGATGTATAATTTACAAATATGGCCCTATGCCTTTTTTGTTTTATTTCTTTAAAAAAGCAACCATCTTCTAACTCAGAAATCCTTATCCCCACACCATCGGGCCAGGTGAGAGTCAGGTACTTCCTGCTCACTGTAGAGTGTTTACCATCACCCTGGCCTCACCACTGAGCACCATACCATCTTCCATGTTGCGATAACCAAAAATGCTGTTAGGCACTGCCAAATGTCCACCGCTGTAAGTAACACTTGGCAGCTCTTTTAGGACCAGGGGCTATCCCCGTCACCTTCGAATGTTAGTACCTGTGATCTTTTGGGACCAGGGGCCATCCCAGAACTTTCTAGCCATCCTTTTGTGATGAACACTTTGATTGTCACAGATAGTGTTGTCTGGCCCTACCTACATGGCTATCTATGTGAGTTCATGTCAGTATTTCCGAGACCTACCCAGGAAGGAGCAACCGGTTAGGGAACAAAGGGTCCTTAGTTAAGCTCTTGGGTGGCACCTCTAGTCGGCTTCCCTGAAGGCCTTGCCCAGCAACCTCCCCGCTGCGTCCTGGCATGGCAGTTCAAGTTAAAGGTTTGCTTCTTGCTGCCTACCTCTGATACTGGAGGCACTGAGCTGAGAATACCCCCCCCCCCAGCCATCCATGTCCACTGCGGAGGTGGCTTACGGGGAACATGAATCTCCTGGAGACAGGCTGGGGGGCCTCACCGCTTTCAGACTCAGCAGAGCATCCCCTCTTTGGAGGGGTTTGTTTCCTTCCTTGTCTGTTTAAGCAGGAGGGTTTTCCAGTGTTGAGTAACTTGTGGGAGAGGCAATCCCGAATAACACCCATCCAAGGATGGGAGGGTGAGTAGGACATGGTGGCCACTGTAAGCCAAGCAGGGGAACTGGGCTGCAGTCCTCTTGGACACCTGTGCCTCCTTGCACTCTGGGTTGGCCTCTCTGAGGATCTGTAGAGAGCAAACCTCCCTGTGAAGCAGCCAGAGCCACCGCAGCTGCCCTGGGCGAGGTGTGGCAGGGCTGGGAACTTCCTCCTGTGTGTGAATCACCATGAGCTGGAAGGGTTGGTCAAACAAGAATAGACACCATGTCCCCTTCTGTGACTGACCCCTCCCCTTCAACTCACGCCTCATCTGTGGGTTTCCTTTCCCCCTGAGGCCCTGCTGGACATAGTTACCATAGCAACGCCAACACTTCTGTCTGTCCCCACATTTTATCTTCACACTGACCTCGTAAGTTAAAAGTCATCGGGTACCCTGCTCCTGAGTCAGTGTTCCTTTCCTCCCTCCCTCCGTCCCTCCCTCCCTCCCTCCCTCCCTCCGTCCCTCCCTCCCTCCCTCCCTTCCTTCCTCCCTTCCTCCCTCTCTTCCTCCCTCCCTCCCTCCTTTCCTTCCTCCCTTCCTTCCTCCCTCCCTCCCTCCCTTCCCACTCCCCAGTCTTCTTTCCTTCCCTTCTTTCTTCTTTCTGTCCCTCTTTTCATTTGTCTTACCTCTCCTGCTCCCTCCCCTTCCTGCCTTCCCTCTCTTCCTCTTTGCCCTCCCCTCTCCTCCCCTGACTCTTCTGTTACTGCCTCCGTAGATGAACTGGGTTCTCTGTCTTGCTTGCCTCCCTGTGCCCATTTCTTCTTTAATTCTTCCTTGTGCTTTAAAGGAATAGAAACTAGAGAAATGCAAGACAGGCGCGGGGGCTGAGAGGAAGGAGGTGGTGGATGAAGGCCAGAGGCTTTGCGCACTTGTAGGCCTTCAAAAGCACACAGCAATAAGAGAAATGTTGTGAGTGTGTAACAAGTGTGTAAGAGGCACAGAATTGTACTTTTACTCCACCATCTGGCCCTGATGAACCAGCTCCTGAGAGTGACCCAGGTGCTTAGGGACAGAGCTGAACTGCGCAAGCCCAGCATCAGTCACAGCCCCACGGAGGACAGATGCTTGTCATGGGGTCTGTAGAATTGCCCCTCAGGCTGGCTTGAATCCTGAGTGACACACACTGCTGTGTTCCTGAACCATGTTTTCTCTCTGGACTCTGTAGGTAACCAACAAGGACAAAGACCTGCACCGAAAGATCTACCAGATCATTAAGGAAGACTGCCAGAGACCAAACCGTAAGTGGCGTGAGGTACAGATGGCGAGGAGCTGGTGTGTCCAGATTCCCTCCCCAGAACTGGACGGAACCAGATTTCCGTTAACTCAGGAAGAAGGCAGCCTGTTTCCTCTCCTTTAACACACGAGTTCTACTCCACTAGTTACTTGGATTTTGGTTGGATGGAGAAGTCAGCATTGGAGCTCCTTGAAGCACCCTGGGATTTCTGGTCCTGTAGGGGACAAGCTGGAGGCTGACCTGAAGGGAGCCACCATGTTTAGCTTTGAGATGACGCCTAGTCCCCATGTCTTCAGTTACATTGCCTTTGAATGTAAACTTGACATTTCCCCTCCTTTCAGACATCAAGGCCTTTTAGTGTGGGGCAGACTGGTTCATGAACAATGGAATTCAGTCATCTTGTAAATGAAATGGCAAAGTCTGGTTTTGTGAGGTTAGGTCGGCCTCTAGTGGCCAGATACTCACGCTGTAGTTAGTGTGACAACAGGCAGCCATTCCATGCTAATTACAAGGAAGCCATAGACCTTTGAGTCTTATGGATGTGTCAGTATTCAAGGTGACTCTTCAGAGTCTGCCTCGCAAACATATGCCAGTAACAAACACTTCTGTCAGCATGATCTGAAGCAGGAAGGGTCGTTGTCCCGGGTCCCCATCACTCCCTTCAGACCCAGACAGACAGGTTGAGTCCCCGGGCAGAGTGGGGCCAGGTCATCCAACCTGTTGTTTAGGATGCGGTGAGAATCAGAACCCAATGTAGTGTGACAACCAGTCTTTAAAAAGGCAGGGGTGGAGGGGTGTGGGGGAGCTGGAGAGATGTAAGAGCATGTAAGAGCACTGGCTGCTCTTCCAAAGGTCCCAGGTTCAATTCCTAGTATCCATATGGCAGCTCACAACTGTCTACAACTCGAGTTCCAGGGGATCTGACACCTTCACACCGACATACATACAGGCAAAACACCAATACACTTAAAGTGTAAATAAATATTTAAAATAACAACAAAAAACCCCAAAGCATCCTCTTATTTTAGCAAATGAGCATTATCTGGTTTATTCAGAATAGTAATAAAAGTGTCCTAAACCCCAGGCCCCTCAGCCCAAGGGTGATAGGTATTGGGGCTGAAGAGCTTGTAGCCTGGCACCTGTAAAGTAGACAGAAGGGCTTTGCACTTCCTTTGCTGGAGGACCTACAGCCTGGTGACCATCAGCATAGCAAGAATGACAAGTTTGTCTGGAAAGATGGCTCAGTGGGTGGAATTTTTTGCTATGGAACCCTGATAATCAGTTCAAGTCCCTGGAACCTATAACAACATTAGCTTCAGTAACACACACCTGCATTCCTAGCACCCCTATAGCAAAATGGGGGACAGAGTTGGGAGACCGTCCAGGGAGCTTGTAGGCCAACTAGCTTGGAATATACAGTCAGTGACAGAAACCATCTGCTGTGGCATGTGCGTGTTCACGCATGTACGCGCGCGCTCTCACACACACACACACCAGTAAAATATGTAAAAGAAATAAAGTGACATGTTTTATAGACAGCCATTGGTCAGCTCCTGCCAGGCTAGTGAGCCGATCGGGGTAGGTAGGCCCTGTCACTTGGTCCACACGGGAGTGACGAGGACCCTGCAGGTGGTCACAGCAGGCAGGGAAGCAAGCCACAAGGGGGTGAGCTTGATACAGCCTGACCCAACAGAAAACGCCAATCACTGGGCTGTTCATCACCCCCAGTACCCTGACTTCTGGATGGGAAAACAAGCTTTGCCTCTTTCTCATTGGATAGTATACCCTACATGCTTAGCATTGCTGGTTTTCCTGGAGATCTGTGGGCTCGGGGACCTTCATGCTGTGCTCCCAACACTTGAGGGCCTCTAAGAGCCATAGGCCTGTCATGTAAGTCAAATAACTCCCAGGAACTGAATTCTTGGTAACAGGGTACTGGTGCAAGACCTCACAGGGACTCTCTTAGTATTGGCTGTGACCACTCGTCATCCTGTTGTCATAACCTATGGCACTAAAAAAGATTGTCCCTATATAATAATGTATACAGAGCCTAAAAGGTCAGACAGTGCAAAACTGCATTGTGAAGTCAGATACCACACCCTCTCCACGCCAGGCCAGCATCTGTCCGGGGATGCTCTGCACACTTGCAAACAGAGTCCGTCTTTTTTAGAAACTCAAGGTTAGCCTGAAATCTGTATTGTCTCCACCTTGCATGAAATCATTGGTAATAGCACTGTGCATAGAAAAGGGCCTCAAACTTGTAATAACTGTGTGGTATTCCATGGGTGGGCATTTATTTCATCATTCCTACTGGGCCTTCAGTTCACTTCTTGCCTTTCATGTGAAGTAAGCATCGGGCTGATGTTTGAAGGACTGGGGCTCCTTGTTCCCTTGTGGGTAACTGAACAAAGGCCGAGGCCACAGCAAGGAAAGTGTCTTCAGTAAGCCCGTCTTAGGTCCCCCTGGAGGGGTTTGTCTGAAGGTGGACAGCGTGTGGCATGTGAAAGAGCCTGGCTACAGAAAGGTGACAGTAGTCTCGATATGGAGGGTTAGTGTGAGAAGTAAGTGATCTGGTGTCACGAAGCTCTTGAGGGTCCGAACTTAGGCTAGAAAGGGCTGGGAAAGGTGGGGTTCTCCTTGCCCGTGGGACGGTGACTGGTAGCCTAGAGGGATGAAGGCTCAGTCCAGCTCTCTACCCCGGTGATTTCAGATGGAATTTTTGTGTGGATTTTTCTCCATTACAGGTGGCTTATAGGTTAGAAACCCTGGATTTCTGCTCTAAGTATGGTATAGCAATGTTAGTAAAAAGAGTTCTACGTTGAAAATGCCTTTTTACTTTGGAAAATGTTCTCACGGGTGGAAGACCTAAGGACAAAACACACACACACAGGCTCTTCTCACCTAGATTCACTGGCAGACTTCAGCTCTTCAGGACAGGGGTGGCCTTCTACATACAAAAATGTCCTTTTCACAGACAGTGGAGCTGCTGGTGGTTCTAAAATGACAGGGCACAGCCACTAGAGGTCGCAGTGTGATTCTTGTTAGCCCAGGACCTTAGAGCATGGGAGGACCACAGATTGTTCCTGCCCGGTAAGGGAAGGATGGTAAGAGTTGGGGTGCTCTGACGTGCTCGAGGCTGCAAAGCGCTGAGTACCTTCCTGGACCTAAAACCCTTTCGTTACCATGAGGATGCCAGGGCTGGGCTCCAAGGGCAGGGCTTTCTTTTAGAGATGAGTTTCAACTTTGGCTCAGGGTAATGTTTATGTCAGAGGCCAGGGGTTCAATGCTGTGTACCAGGGTGAAGGGTTTGTCAGGACTACACAGCCTTCGGGTCATGGATATTCAGTTAGTGATTGGAGCTCTTGGATGTTGAAGATGAGAGCATTGAGAAGCGGGTTGTGTCACTACATGTGTGAGGAGCCCGGAGCTGGTTCTGGCTGTGTGGTCATGTAGACTGGTGTACCTCAGACCTCGATGTGAGAAGAGTCACCTGGATCTTTCTGTGATGCCAGTGCCGGCTCAGGAGGCCTAGAGTGGGGTAGAGGAGGGCCCGCCCATCACCATCATGTTCAGTGTCTTCCCTCACCCACAGATGTGGAGAAGGGCTGCCACTTGATGCACATCCTGAGCTGCGTGCGCCTGAACCTCCGCTGGAACCTGAACAAGGCTGTGCTGCAGCAGGTGCTGGAGCTCCTGGAGGACCAGAGTGACATCGTGAGCACCGGACCTCACTACTATATGGCCTTCTGAGCAGGACGGCTGCGCAGAGATGGGCAGCTTTACCCCAGCGTCCACCCGTGGGCATTGTCCAGGAACTGATGTCTATTTAATCTCACAGTAAATCCTAACGTAGTCATTGGAAAATAGGACCCTTCTACTTTTGCTGTGTCCCTGAGATACGTGGCTTTGATATCAGCCATGGCAAACACAAACCGTATCACTCGGAACAGAATGGGAGAAAACAGTGTTGCTGGCTCCATCGCTGTCTGAACTCGGGGACCCTATCTTGATAGAAGGACATCTGAAACTGGAGAGGTAATGGCCAGACAATGTTGTTTGAAAACTTTTTCAGACTCTAGGCTACCAGATACATTCCCTCCTGGCTCCCCTGCTGTGTTAAAGCTGACAGTGTCCCGGAGTGATTGACATTTGTTCTGGTTCCTGAGGCTCCAGCACTGCAGTGGGGTCTAAGATCTGGGATGCTGAGATTTTCAGATCTGCCTAGGACATAAAGTCTCTGAGGCATGGCTTGGCATTTTAATTGCTTCCTTTATGACTTGAAAGTTGTCTCAGAACATTTACCAGCACCCAAAGAGGTGCACAGCTAAATGTGTGGTCCCTTGGTACCCCTGAAGATGGCAGAGGTTGTCAGCTAGCTGTCTGTCTGGCGGTGTTATTTTCAAGGCTGCCGCTGAGTGTGCAGGGCTTACCATCCAGACGAAGGCTTGGGATGTGCCCAGACAGGAGCTCAGAAAGACAAGGTAAAGAAAACATCTGCGCTATGTAGTAGACTTGTTCTAACAGCAAATGGTAGATCCAGCCAGCAGAAATAAAGTACAGAGAAAGATTTGGAGTTAATTACAGTCATTTCACAGAGGGCACATCTGTCTGAGTCTGCTCTGCTGGCTTTTGACATAACAGAGTCTGGATGGCTGGGCTGGAATCCTGGGGCCCAGGAGCTACTCCACCCTCTGTGGGCGAGTGGCTCTACATCGCAGACCAGAGTTCAGACTGCAGATCCCTTCCTGTCCTGGCCTCTTCTGACCTCCAGTGACTCCTCATTCTCAGGGATGACACAGCCCACTCTCATCCCTGTGCTCAGGAGGCTCTTGGCTGAACAGGATCTGCATGGAGTTTCTTCCTCCAGAGCAGCTATGGTTCCATGTTGAATACATCTGTCAGTGGTGCGGCTCAGAAAGAAGCCTAGAATCAGGACCTAAAATGGGCTTGTGCTGGGTCAAGCACCCCATGAGGATTCCTCTCCAGGGAAAAAACCACGGAAGTATGAAAGAAAGCACAAATGCCTAAGATGCCCATCACTGCCTAATCTACAATAATTTGTATTTATGTTTGATGAAGTTAAATATGAACACACGATGAAATACTACATAGCCACTAAAATGATGGAGCAGATGGCTACTGTTGCCATGGGGGCAGTACTCCCAGGAGATGCAGTGGGAGGAAAATTAAGTTACAAAGCTGTTTGTGTGGTATAATGCCATTGATATAAGACTCCCTGTGCATCTTCTCGTAATCAGTAAATATGTACCTATAATGCAGGTCTGCACAGGCACAGCTCATCTGTTCCTCCTGCTAGAACAGTGACTCTCAACCTGTGGGTCACGACTCCTCTGTCAAACCTCTATCTCCAAAAACATTTACGATTCATAACAGTAGCAAAATTACAGATATGAAATAGCAACTAATAATAATTTTATGGTTGGGTCACCACAGCATGAGGAACTGTATTAAAGGGTCACAGCATCAGGAATGTTGAAAATCACTGTTGTAAAAGCACTTGCTACATTTGCCCTCCAGGACACCAAATCCCCCGCTGCACCTTCTCCTTTACTTAGTCGTCAGTCTCCCCAAGTGCCCAAGACGCAGTCTGAGCCACAGACCTCGTCCTTGCTTTCTTGTTCTCCTGGAATCCTAACCTCATGGGTCATGCTGTTTGCATACTGCCAGGCCTCAGGCTGGGCCTCTGCCATCCTCACACCCCTATATCTAACCTCACACTGACATCTGCTTAGGTGTCTTGGAGACATCACCAGCTTAATGTGTTCAGAGCCAGCCTCTGGATCACCCAGCCCCGCCTTGCTCCTCATAGCCCCTTGATGGAGCCAGGTCCACTCCCGGACACTCAGGCCGACTCCATCAACATCTTTCTCGCCGCCCACACCCCAGCTGTACAGCCCCAAGTTGTCTTGACTCCTCCAGAAGGTTTCTAGAATATACTTCTCTCTCCCTCCTTGCACCTTCCTTTATCACAGTCTCTGCACGGCAGCCACGGGCGTCCCGTGTTGCCCCCACTCTCCATGGCTTTGGCTCTTCAGGCAGGAGCCTGAGGCATCCCAGTAGGCAGTGTGGCTCTATGCTGCCCCTCACTGCACAATGGCAAGATGCTCAGCCTTTAGTAGTCCTACTGCGCCCCGTGCACAAAGTCTATCCTTGCGCGGTGACAGGCCTCTGCTCTTCCCCTTCCGGTCTTCACCTTGTCAGTGAGGCCTGTCCCTTGTGGCTGATTGTAACGGGTTTCTGCCCCCCCCCCCAGCTCTGTTCTGCCCACAGTGGTAGTTCCTGCCTAACACACTCCAAATGTTTGCCTGCTTTCCCTGTTTATATATCACGTTTCCCCAGTAGAATGCTCTAGGAGACTAGAATTCTCTCTTAGTTTCCTGTGTTCCTGGTGCATCTTTCAAAAATCCCATTTTTGTTTGTAGCTGGCCGTTTCCCAGCTCCTCTCGTCTGCTTCTCCTGAGGGCCCCTCCCCCGCCCACTTTTGGAAATCTCTTCAAACTCAGCCAGGGCACCTGGGGTACAGAGGCTCAGGTTCCCTAGTCCTTCTGAGGAAATGTGGTGGCACGTGCTGTCAGAGTTTTTTATAGGATCAAGTGTCATCCACCCCTCCAAGCGGCCAACTTGATATCTGCCAGCATTCCTTCCTGTCTTCTCCGCCCCTCATCCCTGTTCTCTGCAACCACACATGAAAGTTTTTGCTTTCTTGAAGTCTTTGCTTCAGAGTCAGTTAATATCACATTCCCAGATTCATTTGAGACGTGTTGTATAGGTAACTGTATACGTCAAACATTACTAGAAATGCTCACCGAAGGCTAACGTCTGTTCCCTCTGGAAGGCGAGATGCCAAATGCTTTAAATTAATGTCTTCACAAATAACTGCTCTTAAAAAATAATAAAGGGGGCCAGTGAGATGGCCTAGCAGGTAAAGGGTCACGACCAGTGACAGGAGCTCAATCCCTGGGATTCTTGTAAAAGTGGAAGGAAAGCCGGGTGGTGGTGGCGCACACCTTTAACCCCAGCGCTCCAGAGGCAGGCAGATCTCTGTGAGTTCTTGGTCAGCCTGGTCTACAGACCGAGTTCCAGGACTGACCCCAAAGCTACAGAGACACCCTGTCTCGGGGGTGGGGGGTAGAAGGAGAGACACACTCTACAAAGTTGCTCTTCATCCTCTGCATGTACACTGTGCAATGCACACACACAGGCTCACACAGTAACACATTTAACATAAGCTGGAGAAATGGCTGTGTTTAGAGCATACACTGCTCTCCCAGAGTTCCGTTCCCACCAACTACATAAGGCAGTTCACAGCTACCTGTCACACCAGTTCCAAGGGACCCAACACCACGATTCTCCACACCCGTGTGCCCCCACACACACAGTTATAATAACGTCATTTCCCATCCCCACCCACCAGAAACACAAGAAGACAGAGTCCTTTCCCCCACAGCAGTGTGAGGGCACTGAGGAGCTGAGGGAAGGGAAGCCTTGGAAAGCCTGGTGTGTATGTGGGGGAGGGGTGGGGGCGGGGCTTAATGCCGTTGAACTACAGCATCTGTATATACAAAGACCATCCAGAGGGTCCCCTGAGAAGGAGGGGCATGGAGTACAGTCCTCCAACTCTGGTGTACGTGTGTTTGGAGAAGTGTGGCCACTCACGTAGCAAGAAGACAAACGGTGCTACTGTCTACTCGTGGGTTTGTTTGAAGAGCCATGATTATCCCCATCTGGTAAACTACCAGTGCTCCTCATCCCTCTAAGACACTTCTTTGTAATTATTTTCCTCTCTGATGGTGTGCCAGGACACTGGCCAAAAAAAGCCAAGTGGGGTGAAGTCCATTCAACTGTGAGGGACTCAAGACTCAGTGCCAGTGATTGAAACCAAGCAAACTTCTAATTTTCCATTGGCAAAGCATCTACGCTTTCTTATTAATGTGGTTTTTCTTCCACAAGTGGCTTCTACAAGGCTACCCAAAAACATCTCTTTGTTCCCTTCCTAACTTTATGTGAATCCTATGGGGAACTCCAGCAGCAGACACAAAAGGCTTTGCGTGGCCATCCTGAAGGGGTGGTGTCCCAGGACAAAGAGCTTTGGGGCTGAGTCTCAAATGCTTACTGTTCTCCTGGCAGGGGGCTAAATGTGGGCCTACACTGGATCAGTAGGGCTTTGTATAATGCTCAATTTTAATTCAGCCTATTCCTATTGAAATTTGACAACCTGTCTACTTACTGCCTGCTAACCTTGACTGCATTTATTAAGACCAAACAGGTAAATTTGGGAATAACACCAGGTTCTATACTCACAAGAATTCCAAACCAAACCCCAAAGTTCTGTTATGTCAAAGAAAAATGTTACATTTTCATTTTGGATCAGGAAACTCTAAGACCACCTGATGGCTTCAGTTTGTGGTTTGTTTTTTGCATCTATTTATTGTGTGTGTATATACCTGGGCACACATATATCAGAGCTTATGGAGTTGGCTCTCTCCTTCCACTTTGTGGGTCACAGGGATCGAATTCAGGTCTTCAAGCTTGATGTAGAGTACCTTCTGAGCCATCTCACAGGTAGATGAAATAATGCAGTTTTACAGAATTAAAAAAAAAATGCAGCACAAAAGAATACACACAAAAAAAAGAATGCAACATCTTTGCATCATTAAACAAATATTCCTCAGCATAAACAAATATAACACATCTCAAACTAATATTCCATAACATTCCCTCTTTTGTCAAATAAAAAGAAAAGGTTTTAACTTTAACATT